CCTTCTTGTCATTAAACGAGACCTACCCAGTTCCCTCAATCGTTCACCATACGGGTTTTGCCTTCAGTCCCTGAATCTCCTTTGTTGCTCTTCTCTGCAGATGCAGGATCTTTTTCGTATCACGACGGCCGACACTTGTACGCCTTATTCCAAGCAGGGCCTCACTTATGTAATATTGCAATATATTATGACCGTATAAATACGGAATATTGCATTATATAGAACCTCCCTGGGAGTGTTTCCAGTGCTTACTCATGGAAATGAGATCACAGGGTGTGCAAAACATTCTGATCTCCCAAAAAAAGAAAAAAAAAAGAAAAGGAAAAGATATTTGAAAAAGATCCATCAGGGCCAAAGCTTTGTCCCAAGAATAGGATCAAAGGAACTATTTCGTTCCATTCTGCTTGGAATAAAATACGGGGAGGAAAGTAAGAATTCGAAACACGGTGTATTCTCCTGTTCTACACAGCCATTAAATTGATTAGATTAATAGATGGTCCCAGCAAGGATTACCTTTCCTTCCCCCAAAAGAGAAAAAAATGATCAAGAAGATTATTTTTGTTTCGAAAAATAGTATCTAGGCAGCCTTCCAGGAAGGGAGGGCAGGAGGGAGGGAGGAAGGAAGGAAAGAAGGAAAAGGAAGGAAGGAGGGAAAGAGGGAGAGAAAAGAAAGAGGGAGGGAGGAAGGAAGGAAGGAAGGAGAGAGAAAAGAAAGAGGGAGAGAGGAGGGGAGAGGAAGGAAGGAAGGAAGGAGGAAGGAAGGAGGGGATTCCAACACTGGAGCCTTTCAAGAAGAGACAGACAGTCGCTTGTCTGGAATGGGAGAGGGTGTCCTCCTGAGCAGGAGGTTGGACTAGGTGGCCTCGTAGGTCCCTTCCGGCTGTTATGAGCCACCCTGCCCACCTGGGACCTGGCGTTGGGGCTCCTCCACCCCCGGCGGCTTTTCAAGAAGAGACCGGACAGCCGTCTATCGGAAACGGCCTAAGGGGGCGGGGGGTTGGACTGGATGACCTCGGAGCCCCCTCCAGCCCGGTGGGGTCCCCCCCCCTTGCCTTGCGGGCGGCGGCAGCGGCTCCCGTCCCTCTGCTGCCCCCTGGCGCCTCCGGGGCCGCCCGGTGGAAGAAGCGCGGGGGAGGCTTCCACGGAGCGGCTGCGGGCCAGCGGAGAAGCCCCGCCCGCCGACCGACCGACCGACCGACCGACGCGGCGGGGACCCTCGGCGCCAGCCCCGCACCGCCGCCTCGCCCGCCCGCCCGGCTGCCCCGCAGAGCCCTCGGCTGGTTCGGCTGCGCAGCGACGGCGGCGGTGCTCGCCCGGCAAGGCGCCCCGGAGCCCCGCTCGCTGCCCGGAGGGTCCCGCGCCGCGCCGGCCGTTTCCCCGGCTGGAGGAGGCTTGAGGGAGACCGGCGGGGAAAGGGGGTGAAGCCTTCCTCTCTCTCTCTCTCTCCTTTGCCTTCTTTTTCTCCTTCCTCCCTTTTCTTCCCTCCTTTCTACTTCCCTTCCTTCCACCCATCATTTCACCCGCTTTCTCCTCTCTTTCCCTCGTGCTTGTCCTTCCTTCCTTCCTTCCTCCCTTCCTCTTTCGGTTGGTCTGTCTTTCCTTCTGTCCTCTCTTCCCCTTCCTTCCTTCCTTCCTTCCTTCTTTCCTTCCTTTCACCCACTCTATCCTTTCTTTCCCTTGTCCTTCCTTTCTTCCTCCCTTCCTTCCTTCCTTCTTTCCTTCCTTCCTTCCTTCCTTCTTTCCTTCTTTCCTTCCTTTCACCCATTCTATCCTTTCTTTCCCTTGTCCTTCCTTCCTTTCTTCTTTCCTTCTTTCCTTCCTTTCACCCATTCTATCCTTTCTTTCCCTTGTCCTTCCTTCCTTCCTTCTTTCCTTCCTTCCTTCCTTTCACCCATTCTATCCTTTCTTTCCCTTGTCCTTCCTTCCTTCCTTCCTTCCTTCCTTCCTTCCTTCCTTCCTTCCTTCCTTTCACCCATTCTATCCTTTCTTTCCCTCGTGCTTATCCTTCCTTCCTTCCTTCTTTTCTCTCCTTTTTCCTTTCCTTCCCTTCCTTCCCTTTCCTTTCCCTCTCCCAGATCACGGAAGGGTCAAAAGCCCCCCCCCCCCCCCCCCAAGCCCCCCCGGTCAAATTTTCCGGGGGAATTTTTTAAGGGGGGGGGGGGGGGCGCGGAGGGGGGGTTTGCCCAAAGAGAGAAAGGCAGGCAGGTGGGCAGAACCCAGCGAAGGGAAACTTCTTGAGCTCTAGCTCCTTCGTGGAATAAATCTGCCAGGGCCAGGCGGCTGGAGATCAGGAACGCCGTGAGCGAGATGTTAAGGCAGAGCCGAGCTTTGCAGGAGTCGCCTGCAAAGGGGGGGAGATAGTGTGGGGAAAGCAAGAGGAAGGAAGGAAGGAAGGAAGGAAGGAAGGAAGGAAGGAAGGAAGGAAGGAAGGAAGGAAGGGAGGGAGACAGAAAGAAGGTAGGAAAGAAAGAAGGAAGGAAGGAAAGAAAGAAAGACAGAAAGGAAGGAAGGGAGACAGAAAGAAGGTAGGAAAGAAAGAAGGAAGGAAGGAAAGAAAGAGAGAAAAAAACTAGGAAGGAAGGAAAGAAAGAAAGAAAGAAAGAAAAGAGGAAGGAAGGAAAGAAGGAAGGAGAGGCCGTCTCCATATGCTTATAACGGGGGGG